AAACCACAAGGTATTAAATGAAGGCTTGTGCGAATGCAGCCACTAGCATGCAAACTGGAGAATGAAAAATGGCCTGTTTTACCCTGATTTAATTTCAGTCACTCAATGCTGTGCCAGTGATGTAGGCTAAAACATTTGTGCTGTCATTCAATTACATTATATATATATATATATATATATATATATATATATATATATATATATATATATATATATATATATATATATACACGTGTATATAAAGAAAAAGCTAATTTAATCACAATAATTGCATATTCACTAGTGGTTTAAACTTTTGAATCATTTAGATTTAAATGTAATTTTACTTTTTCGTTTTATTTTTCTGTCTTTACCTCTGTTATGCTCCACTTAGGCTTCATTTATTTGATCGTAAGAGAGTAGAAACGTCAAAAAATGAATTTATTATAATTTTAAATGTTAAATGTTGCATTTTCATTTGGTGCAAAGCAGGATTTTTTTTTCAGCATGATTATTACTCGTCGCATGAGCAATAATTACTTGGCGCATGAGCAATATGGTATTATTATTCTATAGTCATCATATATTTCACATAATATTGTATTATATTTGGTGATCAGGAAATGTGCTATAGACAGTTGAAGTCAGAATTATTATTATTTTTTTTTATATTTCCCAAATGATTTTGGGTATGTCTGATAATATTTTTTCTTTTGGTCTTTGTTTTATTTTGGCTAGAATAAAATCAGTTTTTAATTTTTAAGAAATCATTTTAAGGTCGATATTATTAGCCCGACTGTCTACAGAACAAAGCATCGTTATACAATAATTTGAATACAATTATTTATTTAAAAAAAAAAAATAAACGAGGCTTATAATTCAGGGCGGCTAATAATGAGCATGTGATATTCTGTTGTGCGGCGGTGCGAAAAGGGGCGGGATTAAACAAGCTTTTTAGACATTTAAAAAAGCGAGTGATTGCTCCATGTTTTAAATTTCTGTCCAGACATATCATGTTTTAATCCTCGATTGGTCTCACGCTGTCAAGTGATGCGATTTCGCAGGTCAGAGTTCACCAAGCTTTAACTTTGTATCGCAGCAACCTGCGAAATTTGACACATGACCCTGCGTTTCCAGTCTGACGCATTCGCGTGCATATGAATGGAAGTCTATAGGGAGAAAAGTCAAACGTGACCATAGCTTAGTTCTGACTTGATCTGTGTATGTATATTTACTACAGGTGATCTCCAATTAAGCTGCTGAAACATCTCAAGAATGATCAGTGAAAACAGAATGTACCTGAGCTCAATTTAGAACTTCTGTACATGTGATTTTATTATTTTTTTGTGTTTTGTTTTTCACTATTATTATTATTATTTTTATAAATTTGCAACAATTTCAAGAAATCGTTTTTCACATTTTCATTATGGGGTATTGTGTGTTGAATTTAGAGGAAACAAACAAATTGAATCCATTTTGGAATAAGGCTGTAACATAAATAAAAAAAAAAATGTGGAAAAAGTGAAGCACTAAGAATACGTTCCGGATGCAATATATAAATAAATCCTTTTTTTTCTTTATTAAAATATAATTATTTTGGGATTGCAAGGTGGCTCAGTTGTAAACACTGTAGCCTCACAGCAAGAAGGTCTTTGGTTTGGGTCCCGGCTGGGGCAGTTGGCATTTCTGTGTAGAGTTTGCATGTTCTCCCTGTGTTGGCCTGTGTTTCCTTCGTGGTTGCTTCGGTTTTTCACAAGTCTAAAGACATGCGCCTGGGGAATTGGATGAACTACATTAGCCATAGTGTATGAGTGTGTATGGATGTTTCTTAGTACTGGGTTGCTGCTGGAAGGGCATCCGCTGCGTAAAACGTATGCTGGAATAGTTGGTGGTTCATTCCACTGTCAACCTCTGAAGTACAGACTAATCTGAAGGAAAATTAATGATTGTATATAATTTTTTTTATTATCAATATGGAAAAAAAAATATTTTATTTATTCATTTATTTATTTGTGGATGAGAGTCTACCATTCAAATGGTTTGAGAGAATATTTAGAAAATATTTGTTTTTAAATGAGGATAATTTGTAACATTTGATTTATACAGTAAATTCTGCTCTCTATTTATTTATTGTACAGTTGTCACAATAATATTATGCTATTGTCATAATAAAAAAATAACTATTAATAATAATTAAGGCCCAAAAATATTTTAATAAACTAAAAGCATTCTGGTACATGCTTTTAAATATATTTTAAAGAATGTTAAGAAATGAAAATGGATATAATAAGATGATCATATATGTTTTTTTTTCCATCTGATTTAATTAATGAAGTGTTTAACAAACTAATCACATCATTTACATAGAAATTCTAAACCTTTTGTATCACTGGGAGTTTAAATAGGTTAATGCATTGAACTGTCGAATGAGGACACAAGCTCAGGCATTATTAATGCAATATAAATACTCTTGGAAACAGTGTCCTTTGTGAAAAGTGCTTTATGAATAAGATTTACTTGAGGCAAAAACAGGAACAGGATGTGTCATATCATTTTCACATATCAAAAATATCTTTCTAGCCCTTGTGCAGTTGCTCAGACAGCTCTTTTTATACTCAGAATAAGATAAATAAAAACACGTGCCGTCAGGTTCATTAAACTAATGATTGGAAAAATGTAATGAATTTGCTGATATAAACATATAGAAACATAAATATACATATATAAACACAATTGATCATACACCCAATTTAAAGACCCTGAATAATGGTGTAGAAACAGTTTCTAGCATGTAAAAAAATATAATAATTACTTCATGATAATATGATGTACAAAGGCTGAAGCGGTAATATCATGTAAAATACTATCATAATTTGTATCTTTTCTATAATTTCATATTTTTAGTATTTTATTGTAGTATGTTATTTGCTAATTACAATTTTGCAATATTAAATTTTTTACAGTATATTTACATTTTTAAAAACAATTTAACAATTAAAAAAAATGAATGTAGGCTAATTAATAATTTATTCAAAATAATTCTTATACAAAACCGCCCTATATAGTAAACAACTATTTGGATACCCCTTAAGTTTTTACTTTCAATCTTAAATAGACTGAGCCGCTTGTTTTAAAGTAATTAAAAAGTTAGTTAATATATTCACATGACCATAATCTCAAAAAGCGCACAATATTCCACTTGCAAATGTGTGTAAAACACACACTCGTACAAAGCTATCAAAAACAAAAGATTCATTGGATTTACTACATTTTTTAAGGTGGTTGCAAGCAATTTATATGGGCCATATACAGTTGTAGTCAACATTATTAGCCCTCCTGATTGATTAGCCCCCTTTTATATTTTTTCCCTAATCTATATTTAAAAGATTCTTTTCAACATGTTTCTAAACAATTTAAGAGCCCTTTAGATCATGTGTCGGACTGTTTCTCTGTGTTTTGCTGGTAATGTCTTTTTAAATAAATATTTTTTTAGGCCTAATTAATTATTCATTTATTATTTATGTACAATAATTAAGACATAAAATGAGATAGTAAAATATGTTCAACAACAAAAATGTAAATAAACGTAAATGAAAAAGCTTTAATTATTGACTGTCTTAGTCCTATCACTTTAAAATAACAAAAAATATACATCTCCCTATATTTATGCTAAAACACTGCATTTTTTAATTTATTTATTTACTTATTTATTTATGGCCACTTATTTGTATGTATGTTTGTACTTTCATTTTGGTGTCTTATTTCTTTAATTTTACTTTTGAAAATGAATCCTTTTTTCACTTAACAAGATTACAATGATAATAAAGCTTGTTAACAAGTATTAATGAATAATGGAGGAATAATAATGCTGTTTCGTTATTTCATCTTTATTTAAAAGTAGCTGATTATACAGCTACTGTATATTTCCATCCATCACATCGCTTTGTGCCCCCAGGCGGCATAGTCGCAAATTGCAAACTAAAAACATGCTCTTAATCCTTTAATGTGTGGTGCTGCCACTTGTGGCGGTAATTTTTATATTTTAATGTCACTCACTGTACTGATTTTATCTTTTATCTTTGCCATGAGGATAGTACATAATATTTGACTAGTTATTTTTTAAGATACTAGTATTCAATTTAGTGACATTTCGAGAGAATCACATGCTTATGATTGCTTGCAGCCTGTCCCGCATTATTCAATTTGTGATTCACCAATCAGGTGATTCTTAAGCCACTATAAATACCCTGAGTTCCATATAACAGCCATCTTTGTTTTGAAGAATCCCCCCTTCCTCCCCTACTCCTCCTCCTTTCCTAGATTGGTGGTACGATGGCCCAGTAGTTAGCACTGTTGCTCCTACAGCAAGAACGTCACTGGTTCTAGTCCTTACCAAGCCAGCTGATGTTTCTGTGCAGAGTTTACATTTTCTTCCCATGCTTACATGGGTTTCCCTCAAGTTCCCAGGTTTCCTCCCACCGTCCAAAACATGCAACTGAAGTTAATTGACTAATCCAAATTGGCACTATAGACATGCTCATAGTAAGTAGCTATCTCTTAAGAGCAATCACTATATGTTCATTAGCTGCTACAGCAGATCTACAGAGATCCCCTCGAGACCCTGAGCTCAAACTCCTCCCCCGCCTTGCAAACAGGAGGGAGCCCCGGGCTCGAGGATCTTATGAGCTCAGGGCTCGCTCCCAGGACAGCATGCTAAACAAGCTTTATAATCAATCATCAGCTAAGTGAGAACTACTATTTTGTTCTCCAGTTAGTTATGGATAAAATATGGTGGTTCTAATAGTTTAATAAAATAGCTCCCATTTTGGGAATCACTGCTGTAGACTATCACAAATAATAATACTACTTAAGGGGGCTGATAATACTGACCATAAAATGAAAAAAATAAAATAAATAAAAATAAAAACTGCTTTCATTCTAGCCAAAATAAAAGAGTTAAGACTTTCTCCAGAAGAAAAAAATATTATAGGAAATATTGTGAATACTGTGGATTTCTTGCTCTGTTAAACATAATTTAGGAAATATTTAAATAAGATTTGCAGGAGGGCTAATAATTCTGACTTCAAATGTAAATTCTGCCACCACTTGCCTTAAATAATCATAAATGCAATGAATGATTTTATTTCAGTGTATAGTACACATTAGCAGATGTCTATCCGTAAAGTGAACATTCCTTAAGTCTCGCACTGGAGTTGCACAGTATTGCAATATTTCCATGTGTGTGTCCCCTGGCAGGACGTCAGCGGTTATACGGGGTATCCATATTTGCTGTCATATGAGAGAGCCGGCCTGTGATCAGAGGCCATCATGCTGACTTCTCTCTGGACTCTGCTGCGCTCTGTGTGAGTGCTGCTCCGTCCCGATCCCACCCGCGACATGTTCCCCGCCGGGCCCACAGCACTGTAATTGAGTCCCGGATGGACGTTGTACTTCGTTACAGAGCGGAAGCTGGAGTATCGGCTTCCTGGACGACTGTCTGGAGCGGCGGCATCCTCCCTAAAGATAAAGATTAAGGTTGGTTTTACATTCACACATTCGTTCACAGTCCCCATGTTGATTACCATGCAACTTTGAATATTCGGTCAGAAATAGCATGCCAGTATTACTTAAAAAACAACATTAGCACTATTTATTTGACTATAAACAATGCTGCACATGTGTTTAGCTGCTAATGTCAGTTCACTATTTAGAATGTGCAAATAATACTTTTTGTATTAGGCCATTTGGGATCAGACCCATTGCAGTTTGCCTATAAAACACAGAGAGGTACTGAAGACGCTGGGCCCTATCATACACCCGGCGCAGTGTGGCGCAAGGCGCGGCGCAACAGTCTTTTGGTAGATTTAGCTTGGTGCAAGAGTTGTTTTGAGGCGTTGCGCTACGCTGTTTAAATAGCAAATGCATTAGCGCTCATTTGTGCGCCCATAGGCGTTCTGGTCTAAAAAGGAAGGCGTTCTGAGGCGTACCGCTGGCGCGTTTCTTTTTTCAGAAACTATAATAGATTTTTCATTCTTACTAAAACTAACCCGGTCTAAACTCCTGCGCAGAGTTGCGCCTCGCTTACGCTCTGCTTAATACACACAAGAGAGCAATAGGCAAATATCTTTACATATGAAAAAATGTAAATATTAAGGATATATATATATATATATATATATATATATATATATATATATATATATATATATATATATATATATATATATATAGGATATAATAAGAATAGATATAGGATATAAATATAAATGATTAAAATATAACAAAAGATATTATTTTCTAGCCTACATAAATAGGAAAAATCACTGCTTTTAAATGTCTTCATCTCGGGAGGCTTTTTCAGTTCATTTATAACAATTTGCTTTTTGTGTAATGTTATTATTATTAGCAGTATTATTTATTATATAGTCATATTTATATTTGTTTTATTAAAAACAAGCTTAGATTTGCCCACCTGTCAGGTTTTAGACCATATGGGGCACAGCATGTGTTTTAGGATATAACTCAGGTTTTTGAGCACATTTTGTTATTATTATTCATTTATTCGTTTGCTGGAAATTAGAACTGAATTTAGAAATAGATATGAAATGAATATTTGCGCTTAACAAACAAAAGTAATTATTTATAGACTAATTGATGTCTGTGCGTAAAGGTTTCCCTATCCAAGAGCGAATGTGAAAGTAGATCCATTATCTCTCATTCTCACGCTGTAGATGCTCTGTTTAACAGTTTTCTGTTAAAAACTGTTAACTGTTTGCTTGTGAAATGCTCATTTTTTCCACTTGGACTTACTTTGCGTCCTGTATATAGCGAATGTGCTTATGGCGCGACGCAGCTGACTCTTAAAGGGAATGGGAGATGAGACTCTAATTGGTTTATTTTCAGAGCACACCTATAACTCATTAAAAAAATAAACTCAACCCTTTTAGACCATGCACCATAGCGCAAGGCAGATTTTCCGTCCTTAAATTATCAAAAATGCGTTCTGACACGCCCTGAAAGCGTTTGCGCCCTGCGGTTTGCTCTCTGCGCATGGACCGTCAAAATAGAGCGCGCTATTTTAACCTTGCTCCATATGATCAGCAAACACATTTAGCACCCTGGTGCTTTTGCCAGAATTTTATTTATTGATTTTAGTTCAGCTTTTAATACTGTCAAAGTTGACATTTTATCGGATCGATTATTAAAGTTTAAAATTAATGAGCACCTAGTGTTATCGATAAAGGATTTTTAACTGATCGTCCTCAAAGAGTGTCTGCACAGGGTTTAATATCTGAAGTGGTTGTTTTGAACACTGGAGAACCCCAAGGCTGTGTTATATCACCTGCATTGTTTTCGATTTATACAAGTTAAATGAAGATTTCTGAAAGCAACATCACCCTACTCAAGTATGCTGATGACATGGCTGTGGTTGGACTTATCCGCTTGTTAAGTGGTGACGTGTTTGTGACGCATGTAATACTGTTTCCGGGTCCAAGCCACTATTCATTTGAGTGGAGAAATCATTCGTTTATGATAATGTTTTATTCCTATCACACATTAAAGTTGTTTTTATATAAAATCATAGTGTACACAACAATCTCTGGGCTTGCTGCATAACAAATACCAAAAATTTAACAATTTATAAAAAAATTAATCACTTTCTGGCCATCGGATATTAGGCATGGACATATACTGCGATCGTGATTTTCGGAAGCCTTAAATCGCTTTGTAAACGTTTATTATTACTATTTCATGAATCTCCCCATTCAGTTGAATAGAGCACTTGGAGTCGGAAGCTGCTTCGCGTGACGTCACACTTAACAAGCGCATAGTCAAGGGAAAGGAGGAGCTAGAGAGGGCTTTTATTGAGCAGATAGGACATCTGAGGACATGGTGCGAGAAGAGGGCTTTGTCACTTATTGCTTTGAAAACTAAGGAACTAATAAGTAGGCAAGGGCAGCCTATATGTCATCCAGTTACTATTGAGGGTCAACGTTGAGATTGTAAACAGTTTTAAGTATCTGGGAATTATTTTAGATAGTGGCTTAATTTTTGGTGTACACTCAGACTATATCTACAAGAAGGCAACACAGAGACTCTTTCTTTTAAGAAAATTAAATAGTTTTAATGTTAGTAAGGGTATTCTGAGGAAGGTTTATACCAGTCTGGTTGAACGTGTTACCTCTTATATTTCTTGCTGGTACGGACATCTTGGAGCTAGAAGCAAGTATAAACTTGCACAGATAATATGGCTTAATATGGCTAGTAAGATCATAATGGACCCCCAGAAGCAGCTTGTGGAACTGTACAAACCAGATCAGATGGAAAGCCCCACAGATAGTTCAGGGCTCAACTCATCCTCTTTATTATGTATTTGAAAAGCTTCCTTCTGGTAGACGATACAGAGTACCCACAGCAAAAACAAATATTTTTAAGAAATCTTTTATACTGTCTGCCATTACCATACTGAATAAATGACCATGAAGTAGATTGTATGTCTAGGGTTTTGTGTTGGTAATCTGTGGTGTAGGAAGCTTTGTGTTTGTGCTCTGTGTTTGGGTTTTTTGTATTTGTTATGTTTGGGAGGCCAAAAATGAATTTCCACAGGTGTGGGCAATAAAGTTTTCTAATTCTAATAATGAAAATATAATATTAAAGAAAGTCTTTATTTAAAACCATCTTTACCACAATAAGTAGGCCCACACAGAATCTGCGTGTGCAAAATTCCGCAGATTTTCCGCAGAATTCTGCAGATTTTTAGCCCATTATTAATTCTGTTTATTTACCTGAGTAAATGTGTAAATCTGAATTTATTCAGTTTTTATTCAGTAATTTATTACTTTTTATTTCATATATTAAGGTTTTAGTTATGATACTCCGCTGGATACTCCCAAAATAATTCCGCAAAAGTCCGCAGATTTTTACCAAAATTCTCTGCAGAAATAGCAAAAAACGTCCGCAGATTCGGTCTGGCCCTGCCAATAAGATACAGATTTAGGTAAAGATTTATTAAAAGTGAAAGGAAAATATTTAAAGCTTGAAGAGTTTAAATGAATCGTTTAGATTTAAATGCAATTGCATAGTAAAAACCCCAACATTTTGAATATTTTTCTTTACCTCTGTTATGCTCCCCTTAGGCTTCATCTGTTCGATTTTAAGATAAGGTAAAAACATTTCAAATAACATTTCAAATAAACATTTTATGTTAGTATGTTCATTCATTTTCTTTTTGTCTTAGTCCCTTTATTAATCAGGGATTGCGACAGCAGCATGAATTGCTAACTTAGCACATGCTTTCGCAGCTCATGCCCTTCCACCCAATACACACTCTCACACACACTACGGCCAATAAGACCTATAGTGCATGTCTTTGGAGTTGTGGGGGAAACTGGAGCACCCGGAGGAAACCCATGCCAACACGGGGAGAACATGCAAACTCCACAAAAATGTCAGCAGACCCAGCCAAGGGTCAAACCAGCGACTTTCTTGCTGTGAGGCAATTGTGCTACCCACTGCACCACCGTGTTGCTCCATGTTAGTATATTTTCACATGTAAAATGTTGCATTTAATATCTTGATGCTAAGCTGAATTTTCAACATCATTATTACTCTGCAGTGTTACATAATCACTCAGAAGTTTGATTAAATTCATGTAATATTTAAAATATTTCAGTAATTTTTGGTGGGCGCGGTGGCTTAGTGGGTAGCGATGTTGCCTCACAGCAAAGTAGATCGCTGGTTTGAGCCTTGGCTGGGTCATTTGGCATTTCTTTGTGTGCATGTTCTCCCCATGTTGGAGTGGGTTTCCTCAGGGTGCTTTGGTTTCCCCCACAGTCCAAAGACATGCGCTAGGTCATTTGGGTAAGCTAAATTGTGCATGGTGTATGTGTGTGAATGACAGTGTATGGGTGTTTCCCAGTGATGGGGTGTAGCTGGAAAGGCATCCACAGCATAAAACATGCTGGATAAGTTGGCGGTTCATTCTGCTGTGGCGACTCCTGATCAATAAAGGGACTAAGCCCAAACTCGGTCTTGGAGGGCCGGTGTCCTAAATATTTTAGCTCCAACCTCAATTAAACACACCTGAACCACAGTCAGGCTCTTTCTAGGTATACTAGAAACTTCCAGGGAGGTGCGTTGAAGTAAGTTGGAGCTAAACTATGCAGGACACCGGCCCTCCAGGACTTGAGTTTTAAAAACCCCTGACTAAGCCGAAAAGAAAATGAATGAATGAAATTTGGTGATCAGGAAACGTGTTAATCTTTTTTTTCAATTTTTTTTAAATTATTTATATGGAAAATTAAGTTGTGCTACTTTGATGTATTTATTTATTTATTTATTTATTTAATTTATTTATTTCAAATGATCATTGAAAGGTCGACAAAAGTTATTCAATATGGGAATCAAATCTTGAAGTATTATTAAATAGTTAATCTCAATAAATCTGTTTATTTTGTTTAAAATTCTTGCAGCACAAAATAACTATTCAAAATATTGAGAGACTATTTAGAAAATGT